GACAGGTTGGATGATGTGGAACTGGCTGGTGTCTGCCCTTGCTGTAGGAGCCTCTGTTGTGTTGTATGATGGATCACCTTTTATTCCTTCACCAAATGTCATTTGGGACTTAGTCGACAAAATAGGGTGAGATGAATGGCAATGAAATTTGGTGAACTGTAGAGCACAACCATGCATGCACTGCAGGCACCATGTACTGAATCATTATTTTTTTACTGACAACCCCCTAAGAAGTTCCCTGTTTTGAGCTTTGAGCCCCCCCCCCCCCCCCCCCCCCCCCCCCCACTTCTCGTTTTCTCTTTCCCCTGCCCATTAATCAGAAACTATGAAATATCAATTTTAATGTTATTCAATGTGTCTACAATGAAGTTTTGGATCAATATCAGTATCCCTACCCCTACCCCTACCCCTACCCCTACCCCTACCCCTCCCCTAACCCAACATTAACCCTAACTTGTTATCAATTGACTGTTGTTGAGTTAGGGGAGGGGTAGGTGGGAAGTTGCCCAGATACTGATATTGATCCGAAGTTTTTAATAAGCATCTGAGGCTCATTAGAGAGTCACAGCATTTACAGTAAGGTTTACACTGATATCTAACATCATCATAATTAGAGAAAGATTTTTTTTATCTTGTCACAAGCGTGGAACAAAGAAAAAAATTCTGAATCCCCATGTGAAATTGAACCTCAGACCTTCGGATTTTGCGCTCTGATGCGTAATTAATGAGTAGAAATAAAAATTGACTTCACCAGCTCAGATCACTCATATGTCATCTCGAAAAACACAGTTTTTCGTTGAAAGTTCTGGCTGGCTCAAGATTCAACTCATATTAAATAAGTTGTTGCTATTCCACCTAACTAGAATAACCATTTTGGGAACTGGAGCCAAGTGGTTGTCAGCTTTGGAAGACGGGGAAGTTCAGCCAAGTAAGCTATAAGGCCTTCCGATATTGCTTGTTTTTGTTAGTTATTTATGAACTTGACATCTTAATTTTGGAGCCATCTAATTATTAGCCATGCTATGACGATGGCTGCTAATGTGCTGGCTTATATACCTGTTTGTTTATGGAAGTCAAAAACTGCATAATAATTTTATATAACATATTTTCCCTCTTTTAGTTAGGACGCATAATCTAGCACGTTTACACACGATACTGTCAACGGGCTCCCCCCTGAAACCGGCCAGTTATGACTACGTTTACAACAGTATAAAGCACGATGTACTCCTTGGTTCTATCTCAGGTGAGCCTAAAGCTATTTACTGACTGCTATTCTGTAAAGAGATATTAAGAGCTAAAAAGAGCTTTTCCGGGGTGCGGGATTTGTTAGCAGCATGGCAGGTAGCGGGATTTAAATTAAGTGAGCTGCCCGTCACTTACAATACATGTATCTGTCTGTGGTCGTGCTTTTTTTTTAACGGGAGTGCGGGAGGGCTTAAACTTAAGGTTTAAATGGGTATTAGCGGAATAGGGAATAGAACTTAAATTACAGTGCGCAAATATAAGGATTTGTAAGGTTGATGATCATCGATATGTCGAGAATGCAGACGTGGGGTAAGACTTGTGCGTTGTGGTCTTGATTTTCACGTGACTTATAATTGCCAATTCTTGTCCCTGTAACCGATGATTTTTATTCTGCGGCATGAAGGGACTTGGAGTATAACCTGCAGAACAAGTGGTTGTATCGATAAAGATGTTTTATCGTCTTGTCACGAGCGTGGGACAAAGAAAAAATTCTGAGTCCCCAACGAGGAATCGAACCTCAGACCTTCGGATTCCGGGGAAGAGGCAGGGCGAAAAAATTGACACATTTTTCCACGCGAGTCTCTTCCCTCGCGCTCGCCTCGCGCTTGCCTCGCGCTTGCACATTAGAAGAACTTACCGAAATGACGCCTGTCTTGCACATTAGTTGGAGAATGTTTACTTCTCCTGGATGTGATGTAAGTCCATCACAAGTAACCTCCTAGCTTTTCCTCTGGTCTCCTGAAATTTCTTAATGATACCAATTTCTGATCTTGATTGAAAAAAGCGGGGCTTTGAAAGGAGAGGGTCTTTACCTAAGACTTGGCTAGGGCTCGAACTCAGACCTCTCGATCTGAAGTCCAGGTTTGAAACCACCAGGCGACTGCTCATTCTGATTGCCGAACTAACGTTTTTAATTTTTTTTTTTAATTTACAGGGGGCACAGACATTATTTCATGTTTTGCCGGTCAAAATCCAACTGTCCCTGTGTACCGTGGAGAAATTCAAACAAGAAACCTTGGAATGGCCGTGGAGAGCTGGAACGACGACGGTAAAAAATATCACTGATTTCCTAACATTATTTTGTTCTTGCGGTTTTACGTACCATGCGAACAGAGTGGATCATCAAAATTCGTTTCACGACTCCGACCTCTCGAGATACAGGTGCGACGTTGCAAGGGTTTCGAAAAGTCGTCTTGTTTACTTGTGATCGGAGGATTTCGATCCACTTTGTTTGTTTTTGCACTTTTATGTCCGTTACAATAATGATTGACAGCGGCACGAAATTGAATCACAAGTTTGTCATTCTGTCTCAGATTTCGCATGTTTCTCACAAGGACAGTAATTTTCCATTATACTTTCTCTTCATCTTTTCTTTTGCGGATCCCTGGTCTGTGATCATCTTTTGGATTCTGTTCTCTGACGTCGTCTTTCTGTCCATGTCTAAGTAGTAAACTATTGATTTGTCAAAAGTGTTCTTCGCTAAGAAGCCGGAAAGCTTGGGGCTTAGTTTACGTAGCAGCAAGACGTATCACGCACACTGTCACACAAGTTCAAGTTCAAGTTCTTTGAGGCCAAGTTCAAGTCCAAGTTCAAGTTCTTTAAAGCCAAGTTCAAGTTCTTTAAAGCCAAGTCCAAGTTCAAGTTCAAATTAAGTTCTTTAAGGCCAAGTTCACTCGATCCGTAGATGTGGATGACGTTTGACTCGATTTTCTTGACGGCTTTTTTTACATCTTCTCCTCGGAATAAAAGCGACTGCAATTAGCCAATCAAATGATGGGAATTCGCATGGCAACCCGTGATAAGTTAGAGATTAACACCTGCGACCTGTCAACTGGCCACTCGTACCATTCCCCTCAGTCAAACGGAAAGAGAGGATAGTGGAACCACACTGTGATGGAGCTGGCTGATTGGCTGAACCACTTGGATTTACGTCATAGTGTAGCTAAATACAGGATCATTTGTGTACATTATATGGAGACAAGAAGATCACGCCATTACTCGTGATCCAACAACCAATAGAAGAAAAATTTGCTCGTCCCGTTCACCTGAAGTTATTAAAGAGTGATGGAGCATGGAATTTTAAATTGTGAGCGTGGACCAATAAATAAATCGCGAATTTCTCTTCGTGGTCAATTACCAGGCTCTCATTTTGCCATATCTCGCGCTACCAACATCATTGTTTTGCGTTTTTCCAGCGCTTGGAAAAACTGGCGAGTGCTTGGGTCGTACTCAACGCGCACTTACCTCGCGCTCGCCTCGCGCTCGCCTCGCGCTACCTCCCGCAACCTTGTCCTGCAAGCTAAGTTTGTCTATATAAAGTTGGTCTGTGGGAATTACAGAAAACTATTTTTCTTACTTTGTTCATGATTTCTTCTGAACTCAGGTGAAGCTGTATATGATCAGAGCGGAGAGCTGGTTTGTACCAAACCCTTCCCTTGTATGCCTATTTACTTTTGGAATGACCCTCAAGGCCTCAAATACAAGAAAGCCTACTTCAACAAGTTTGTAGGTGAGCTTCAAAATAGCATCTATTGCACTTCAGTTTTAACATAGAGATTATGTCAAACTGATAAGGTATGGAAGTCGGTATGGTTAGTCATGGAAGTAGAGGCAGCAGCTGATTTTAAACCAATTCTCGTACGTCATCCCGTACGGCCTGGTTACTAAGTTGTTC